TCTTCCTTTAGATCTGTTAGAAATAGGTCCAACTTTCGTCGGTTACCCCGACGAGAAACTTCCGGGCCATCATGGCCTTGGCAATCTGCGACCCTCTCTGTCGGTTTCCATGGAATCCGACGAGTTCCCTATTGTCCTCAGCCTCGGGCAAACGACTTAGTCACTAGCGAAGCCTCCAGATCTACATCAGTTGCTGCGTCGTTTTCAAACCTTAGATCTGAGCTCTGTCTCGGGTTCAATAAGGTTTTTCACCATCTCCGGTGACCGCTCCTTAAACCCATCTCCCGGTGGCTGCTTTTCAACCTTCCCTTCGTGGTTCTCCCTTGCCGACCTGTCAGCACGGCGGATCCTCTTCAGCCACAACGGCTATAAACCCTACAGACCTCCCAACCCTATTCAGTTTTGGGCCTGGCCCAAGCTGAGATATGGACCTCCAAACCCAAATTTGCCTAGCCCAGTAAGCCCCATTCTTAATCATTTATGGGCCAGGTCTGCTAATCCGCTACATCATTTGCCGGAACTGTTTTGTCCCCCTCCACCATCCTCCTCCACTGGTCTCCTCCATATGCTCAAATCCCAGCCTCGCCGCTAATAGTCTTGGCTCCGGCGAGACATCAGAAGGTCAAACTTCTTGTATGGACGTTTCCGAGATTCATCGCTTTTGCCGGTAATGCTCTTATAGGAGCTACTCTTGTTCGTATCAACGCTACAACTCCAGAACTATATTGTCTTCAATCTCCCCGGGTGAGTTACCATTCGTGCTCATACTCTCCTTCAATCTTAATTTTGGATGTGTATGACACTTTATTAGGTNTGTTTNNGGAACCGGGTTCACATTCTCCATCGATCTTACTTTTGGATGTTTGTGATACCATGCTTGGTTTATTATTGGAATTGTGTTCATACTCTTCAACGATCTTACTGTTGGATATGTATGACACAATTTTGGATAGCTTTTGGATGTCTTCTCTCTGTAGTTGCTCCGCCCATTGTTGGTCGTGTTCTTTGGTGATAAATTGCAGATATATCCGTTGTTGGAGGCTCAAATTACTACTTATATTCATTCTTTTGGGCCCAACTTCATCTTTCATTGCTCCATGGTTTGTCTATCGTCGCTGTGTCGCGCGGTCTACTACGGGAGTGGAAGAAATCGATACAGATGACTCGCTCTCTGTACTCTTTAAAGGCTCAACACTTACAAGTGCAGCCGATTTCAAGATTGTTAATCATGCACTAGGTGCGGTATCAATCACGGGTGTTAGTCTGCAGGATGTGTTCTTAATCCTCCATAGCGTCATTCTATTGTATAGGCCCTATATTGTCAAGATTGGACACTTCTACGACGTTGGACGCTTATGTATGATGATAGCTTCTATCCCTTGTTTGTGTAATTTTCGCTTGTTTTTTGTAGCAGCGATTTTAGTAGTCATGATAGCTTTAGTACCACCTTTTGTAAACAATTCCTCCTTTAATGGAGAGTAAGCATCAATATAACTACGTTGTTTGACAACAAAAAAATCAATCTCTGTTTAAAATATTTGTAGACCAATTACGTATCAAATCTCACCAAAAAGCAAAAAGTCTGATTCTCTCAGATCAAGTTGTGTGTGAGAAAAACAAATAAACAGGAAGACGTAAGAACATAGGTCTGAATTTTTTGGATCCACTTGCATATATTAACAAACATCCCAAAAAACTCATGCAAACAATAATGGTAGATTTCTCACTCCATCTAGGATATTCACATCATAATTTTAAAATATATATCTCATAAAAAAGAGTAATTATATTCAACCTAAAGTTTAATTACTCAA